TTAGATACACATATAAAACGATCTGGTGTATACACTGAAGTTGACTGAAGTTTTATTTTTATTCAAACATATAAAAGTCAGAAGGAATGTTCCTAGTAGTCATAAAGAACTGCGAACATTAGTGACTTGTAGTTTAAACATAGAGTTCTAGATAATTTCTATCTTTAACAATATATCACGTGACTAACCATGGGTCCGGGTAGTCCTGTGGGTACCAGGGTCCTACTCATTACCCACCTGACCCGAGTACCCGAGTTACCCGTCCCAGCCCTAGTGATAACTCTGTTTTCCTGTTTTTCAGGGCACTATCATTTGCAGAAACACAAGGGCCTGCCAATACCTGCCCACAGAAGGACAGTTGAACAGAATGAGGGCTTCTGCACATAGTGGCTCATGGTTCTGTGGAATAAAGCAACTTTGCTCGTGGAGAATTTGTGGATTGGCAACTGTGTGGTTGCTTGATTCCTGAGAGTTTCTAGGACTTTGTCCTGCCCCCACACTGAAGCACATGGTACATGTGTTATTGCCTTGGGCAAGTGACTTTGTTCGAAATATGCCTCTGTTCACAATCAGTAAATGGGTATCCAGTAGGATGATATATAATGTGACTATTAACCTGCTAGCACCTTACAGGAAGTTTAGGTTGTATACTCCCCAGGGAGCTGAGAATGACTATCAAGTGCACACTGCTCCACTGACAGGGGGGCGTTCGGGTAGCCTAGTGGTTAAAGCGTTAGTTCGTCACGCCGAAGACCCAGGTTCGATTTGCGACATTGGCACAATGTGTGAAGCCCATTTCTGGTGTCCCCTGCCGTGATATTGCTGGAATATTGCTAAAAGCGGCGTAAAACCATACTCACTCACTCACTCACTCCACTGACAGGGGTAATAATGTAATGCTTTCAACTGCCTTGAGCATGGTTTAGGGTGTGGATTTGTCACACTGTAGATTTGTACATTATCATTATTATTATTATTATTTATCATGCCCTGGAATATAGCATTACTGTATTACATTGTTTGTTTGTTTGTTGTTTAACGTCGCATTCAGCAATATTCAAATTATATGACGGCGGTCTGTAAAAAATTGAGTCGAACCAGATAATCCAGTGATTGACATCACGAGCATCGATCCACATAATTGGGATATCATGACATGCATCAACCAAGTCAGGGAACCTGACCACCCGATCCTGTTAGTCGACTCTTCGGACAAGCATAATTGCCTTTTACAGCAGGTAGGGGTTGCTGAAGACCTATTCCAACCTTGGTCATTGAGGATTACTGTTGATATAGCTTAAATGGATAGAAATTTGTCCTAAAAAGATTATCATATCCAAAAAAGAACCCAATAAAAAGAAACAATGCATGGAAATATAGCATCTGTTATTTACACCCAATGAAGAACACAATAGTGGTCGGCGACACACTGACCTTAAAACATGTCATCAACAATGGATTACCTCACTCTAACTTGTGTGATGTCAACTAAATTGCTGTCAATTTATTCAAAGAATATGCACAGCACTTCATTGACCTACAGTTAATCAGTAGGCACTTGCTCTATTACGCAAGTCGACACAGCTGTGCTGATACAGTCAAACTCCACGTTTGTTTGTGTTAGTATACAAATTACCAAATACAAATGTTTCAATATGATTGGTAATGAACCGTCATTAGGCGAAATGAGGGCATTATCAAATTACTGTGGCCATTTCATGATAATTTTGAAAAATGCAGATTTCAAACATTAAATGAAAATCTAAATATGAGCAAGCCTGTGACCCAGGATGAAATTTTTACCAGATGTTTGCAAACAGTTTTGCTCAATTTTTAAATTACACAGGATACATGGCCAAAACATACCTATATGATATCTTGTCCTTTATTAATATGTTGAGATTAAAGTGCTGAAGCATTCCCTTGTGAGGAGCTTAACTATGTCAGGTTGTTCACGTCTTGCTACCTGTTGTCAGGTGTATTGTTACACTACCCATACACTACCTATGGATAATAGTAGCATTGTAGTATGCATGGAGTTATGAATGAAGCATGCATAAATTTTATGTTTTGGAATCTGGATAAGGAAATTCAGTTACCCGAGTGGGAGTGGATCTTAAAATTTCTGTAAGTGAACATACATGACTAAACTTAAGTATGTTGGGGTAATGTAAAAATGTGGCAAGGACTGAGCCACTCCCACACAGTTTGCAAAGAGAAGCCATGCACATCATTGGTAGGACCACATGGCTTGTTATGATATATGATAGGGATATAACTGCTTTTATTTTACAACAATGTTGCCATTTGCTGTATAGTTGAAGCTATACATAGGTGACTATTGTAAACCTGACACCTTTCAAGTGAGCGTTAACAGCACATAATTCAGCCCCATTGAAAGGCTAGGTTGTATTTAATGATAATGCCTGTGTGCATGTTGTATACGATTGATGAATTATAACATATATTTCTAGCTTGTGAATCTCTTCATGATCGATTAACACCTTCATATTTCCATTATAATAGATCGGAATGGTAAGTGTATTATAAGTCACTAGGCCACGGGCAGTTATGAATGTTATTTGTAGACCCTTTTTTCAGCTGTGTACTAGTACTGTTCATTATTCCATAACTATATTAAGACACCAAGTACAAGGGAAATGTTTGTGGTTACGAGCTTGGGCCTAGGGAATAACCATAACACTGTTATATAATGTATTACAAACAGACATCTTTGGTACTCTCTAACAATCAAGGACACAATGTTCCACCCACTCAGTCACCAACCATACAAAGTCACAGTCCTTTTGAGCATATGCCTCATGTACCTGAGGTTACTTTGCCTGAGTTTTATACGTAGGCAGAAATTCTGTTTGGTCGCATCTGTGACCAGTTTTCAAAACATAAGGTTATGTTTATTTCTTGGGTAGAGCAAGGCCAAAGCTACACTTTCAGAGAAACTTTTAAAATTATAAATGTTATGTCACTTACGGTACTTGGCCTTCATTTTACAGATGTATTTTTGTTTCATTTACAGACCTGGGCCTCGCTCCACAGTCTGTCTTAAACTGAAGTTTGTATTAAATTACGGGAGTTATGATAGTTTTGGCACTAAGATCTCTTGGTGCAAAACGACCTTGGCATTTACACACATGCACAGCAAACTCTTCAGTAGATCTGGCAATTTGCACACATGCACAGTACTTCTTTAACAGACCTGCCACCTTGTGGGGGTTTTGAGTAAAAATTCCGTCCCCAGCAACCCAGACAATTTACCCAAATGGACAGGGATTCTTGAAGAGACCAGACGAACATGGACAGGGGTTCTTGAAGAGACCAGACACACATGGACAGGGGTTCTTGGAGAGACCACACAATTTACACACATGGACTGTGTTTCTTGAAGAGATCGGACAATTGACACACATGTGAAGTATTTCATAAGGACAATGTGCATGCTTGTAGTTTCTTCTTGACTAGTCACATTGCCTTTATTCTTCCCACATGGAAATTAGCCGCATTAAAATAATTTTGATATAACTTACATCAGTATTTTGACAATGAATATGGCCAGTTTTCTTTTTTTTCATACTTTATGCTTTGTTTTCACACAGATGTATCAATCAAATTAGACAGAAAGAACATCATGCAATCTGTTGGGTTTCTTCCAGACCTCGTTTAGCAGCTCACCTGGTGTCAAGGTTTGAATGGCATAGGGATTTATGGTGGTGGTTTCAGCAATATTTCATCAATGTTTTTTCAGTGTTTCAGCTATATTTCAGCAATGTTCTGGGTGTGTTTCAGTGATATTTCAGCAGAATGTGAGCAATGTATTTTCAATATTTCAGCAATGTTTCCAGTGTTTACGCAATATTTCAACAGTTTAAAAGATATTTCATCAATGTTTTTTCAGTGTTTCAACAATTCTTCATCAGTATTTCAGCAATGTTTTTCCAATGTTTCAGTATTGTTTCAGCAATGTTTCTCGCTTCAGTTCATCTTGGTCAGACATGAGTACCACTCAGTGTTTGATATTCAAATCATCTACCATTAATTTTGACCACAGCTGTAGTCGAAAAAGTACCTTAACATAGCTGAACCTATTTTGCAAAGTTAAGAAATAGCGTCATAAATTGCAGCATTAAAAACTGCTGCCTGCCAGGGAAAATGTTGTAAGTAATGTTTAAGGCAGGTTAAGTCATCATTCAAATCACCTGGCGGTCTGATCTTAAGACTTGATAACATTCTTTGCAGGCCTCTGTTGCTGGAATATTGCTGAGTGTGGCATTGAACAACAAACGAGCAAGCAAACACATTAATTTGTATGGGGTTTTATTACAGTGACAAGTGAAATATGCATGATTGGTCATGAGCGTGTCTTTGGGTTTACACATGCTGGCATGCTGTTAAAAAATAATTAAAAAAACTTGAATTGGAATAATATTGCATTGCCATGGAAACATGATTCCAATGAAATATAAAGTAACCTGAGAATTTACCTAATTAAGCACATGTTCTGTAGAATTTAACTAATTAATCACATAGTCTCTAGATGGTCATTTTGATAACAGAGATATGCAGATACGACAATATGTTGCCACATGACACTCTCTAATTTCAGATATGAAAAAGTATGTTACTTCCTTCGCAGCATATTCAAGTCAAAGCTGTGTTGCAATAATTTGCCACTCACTCACTCACTGCCACTCACTCACTCACTCACTCACTCACTCACTCCAGCCACCTTGATCCACATCCCCTATTCCAACCATTGACGAAATTACCCTTCCCTCATTTACCCTACACACTAGTAACCCCTTGCTTTCGCCCTGGACCCAACCCCACTATGTTTTCCCCACACTCCATGCTCCCCCTGGTCCCACACAACCAGCCACACCAAGCTGTCCCCCTGCTCCCACACCACCAGCCACACCAAGCTCTCCCCATGTCCCCCACACCACCAGCCACACCAAGCTGTCACCCACACCACCAGCCTCACCATGCTCTCCCTGTCCCCCACACCACCAGCCCCACCAAACTCCCCCTGTCCCCCAAACCACCAGCCACACCAAGCTGTCCTCCTGTCCCCCACACCACCAGCCACACCAAGCTGTCCCCCTGTCCCCCACACCACCAGCCACACCAAGCTGTCCCCCTGCCCCCATACCATCAGCCACACCAAGCTGTCCCCCTGTCCCCCACACCACCAGCCACACCAAGCTGTCCCCCTGCCCCCATACCATCAGCCACACCAAGCTCTCCCCCTGTCCCCCACACCACCAGCCACACCAAGCTCTCCCCCTGTCCCCCACACCACCAGCCACACCAAGCTGTCCCCCTGTCCCCCACACCAATTTCCCCCCACTGTCGCCCACACCCCCAGCCACACCAAGCTGTCACCCACACCACCAGCCACACCAGGCACACCAAGCTCTCCCCCTGTCCCCCACACCACCAGCCACACCAAGCTGTCCCCCCTGTCCCCCACACCACCAGCCACACCAAGCTCTCCCCCTGTCCCCAACACCACCAGCCACACCAGCCACACCAAGCTGCCCCCCACACCACCAGCCACACCAAGCTGTCCCCCTGTCCCCCACACCACCAGCCACACCAAGCTGTCCCCTGTCCCCCACACCACCAGCCACACCAAGCTGTCCCCTGTCCCCCACACCACCAGCCACACCAAGCTGTCCCCCTGTCCCCCACACCACCAGCCACACCAAGCTGTCCCCTGTCCCCCACACCACCAGCCACACCAAGCTGTCCCCCTGTCCCCCACACCACCAGCCACACCAAGCTGTCCCCTGTCCCCCACACCACCAGCCACACCGAGCTGTCCCCCTGCCCCCACACCACCAGCCACACCAAGCTGTCCCCCTGCCCCCACACCACCAGCCACACCAAGCTCTCCCCCTGTCCCCCACACCAAGCTCTCCCCGTCCCCCACACCACCAGCCACACCAAGCTCTCCCCCTGCCCCCCACACCACCAGCCACACCAAGCTCTCCCCCTGCTCCCACACCACCAGCCACACCAAGCTCTCAGCCTGTCCCCCACACCAAGCTCTCCCCCTGCTCCCACACCACCAGCCACACCAAGCTCCCCCTGTCCCCCACACAACCAGCCACACCAAGCTCTCCCCCTGTCGCCCACATCCCTAGCCACACCAAGCTGTCACCCACACCACCAGCCACACCATGCTCCCCCTGTCCCCCACACCACCAGCCACACCAAACTCCCCCTGTCCCCCATACCACCAGCCACACCAAGCTGTCCTCCTGTCCCCCACACCACCAGCCACACCAAGCTGTCCCCTGTCCCCCACACCACCAGCCACACCAAGCTGTCCCCCTGTCCCCACACCATCAGCCACACCAAGCTGTCCTCCTGTCCCCCACACCACCAGCCACACCAAGCTGTCCCCCTGTCCCCCACACCACCAGCCACACCAAGCTGTCCTCCTGTCCCCCACACCACCAGCCACACCAAGCTGTCCCCCTGTCCCCCACACCACCAGCCACACCAAGCTGTCCCCCTGTCCCCCACACCACCAGCCCCACCAAACTCCCCCTGTCCCCCAAACCACCAGCCACACCAAGCTGTCCTCCTGTCCCCCACACCACCAGCCACACCAAGCTGTCCCCCTGTCCCCCACACCACCAGCCACACCAAGCTGTCCCCCTGCCCCCCACACCACCAGCCACACCAAGCTGTCCCCCTGTCCCCAACACCACCAGCCACACCAAGCTGTCCCCCTGTCCCCCACACCACCAGCCACACCAAGCTGTCCTCCTGTCCCCCACACCACCAGCCACACCAAGCTGTCCCCCTGTCCCCCACACCACCAGCCACACCAAGCTGTCCCCCTGCCCCCCACACCACCAGCCACACCAAGCTGTCCCCCTGTCCCCAACACCACCAGCCACACCAAGCTGTCCTCCTGTCCCCCACACCATCAGCCACACCAAGCTGTCCTCCTGTCCCCCACACCACCAGCCACACCAAGCTGTCCTCCTGTCCCCCACACCACCAGCCACACCAAGCTGTCCCCCTGCCCCCATACCATCAGCCACACCAAGCTGTCCTCCTGTCCCCCACACCACCAGCCACACCAAGCTGTCCCCCTGCCCCCCACACCACCAGCCACACCAAGCTGTCCCCTGTCCCCCACACCACCAGCCACACCAAGCTGTCCCCCTGCCCCCATACCACCAGCCACACCAAGCTGTCCCCCTGTCCCCACACCACCAGCCACACCAAGCTCTCCTTGTGTAAATGTAAGGCTGGAAAATTCTCAAGCAAAAACTTAGAATTTACTATATGCTGTATGTATATATATAAGTATGTATATATATATATTACACACACATAAATACTTCAATATTAATATGTCATTCATGTACCATATGCCACTGGAATATGACATTATGATATCATAGAGGGTTCATAGTTAGATCGAGCTGGACTACAGTATCTACACATTACGCTCGGTCTCGGTCGATATGACACTAGACTTGACGTGTGTGGATTTGCAGGATTGGTGTACTGACGGTATATGTAATTTCCCACAATTCATGTTTGTCGGGGGACACGAGTGTGGGCGGTATTGACTCTTCGCACCTAACCAAACCACCCCGCTTAACGTCAATTGACACATTCTTTCAATTAACATTTTCTAACAGTTATTTAACTAGATTCTATTTTCAACTGGCATCCAAGTCTACAACATTGTTGGCAGTGTTTTTCTATGAAACGGCTAATCCTCTTTATTTGACATTATTGCCATTAAGTTTCCCAGTCTTTGTTTGTGGCCTTTGTACACAGTGTATGTGCATAATCTAATGACTTAAACACTTTTCTTGCAAATTAACACAGTTTCATTCGGCTGACATTTTCATTTTAACATTACCAGTGCTTCCATACACAATATGATAAAATTTAGAGAATACGTATTATTTGAATGTGTCAGGGAAAGTGGTGACCTCAAGGAATCCTTATCACCTTAATCTTTCCCATTCAGAAGCAAATAGGGGCGGTTGGGTAGCCGAGTGGTTAAAGCGTTCGCTTGTCACGCCGAAGACCTGGGTTCGATTCCCAACATGGGTACAATCCGTGAAGCCCATTTCTGGTGTTCCCCGCCGAGATATTGCTGGAATATTGCTAAAAGTGGCGTAAAACCATACTCACACACTTACTCAGAAGCAAATACTTCAACATTCATAAAATCGGAAGCTACTTTGAATAGAGATACATTTATCCCTTGGTCATGTGAAGCAAAGCTAACAACCTGTTCTTGTCTTCTGAGAAAATGATGATGCCAAGAAATGTTTCATGAACTATTTGATGTAAAAATATTTGAAAAGAGTGTTACAGCATATTTGAAACTTTAATAACGGTAACAATAATGATTATGGTTCACTCTGTGAATTCAGCCCGTATACCCCCTCCAAAAGTTATATCTCATATGTAATGCCGTTCAATCATTTTTATTACCGTATTCAACGTAATAAGCGCTCAGGGCGCTCTCAAAATTAGAAATAGGGGGCGCTTATTAGAATATTATTTTTAGTTGAAAAATCATATATTTCGTGGTTTATGCTAACAGCCTGAAATGTTTACATACGACAGATATATTTTTCAAGAATTTAATTGCCCATAATTAATGGTGATATAACACACGAGTGCGTATTATTCACGAATAAATAAGTCTTGCGTACATTGATCAATCGGAAGGGGGATTGTTCACTAGCCAATATTTTAGCAAATATCGCCGTGGGCGCTTATTAGAGCGGGGCGCTTATTACGTCGAATACGGTATATGAATGTTGGAGGGGGAATACGGGCGGAAGTCTTACTTTAGGTTATAGCTGCGATTTAGTTTCGCATCATTTAACCAAGCCGTGCTATCACTTGTGGAATGTTATGCAGGAAATGGGTTGAAACAGTATATTTTTGTCTGTGTCATGGTCATAGTCACGGTCACTTATGATGAAAATCTGGCATCTTTTCATTAGAACCTGACTTGCATATTTAGACAAGTCTTGTAATGTTTTCGCCATTTATATATCCAGCAAACACAGATTTAACACCACTTGAAACATGTAATTTGAGATTGCAGACTGTTTTGTCTGCTGGCCATTTGGATATTTCTTCCTCTTGTATCTATTTAAGAATTGACTTCAATATTATTTGTGTTTATGGAGATATAAATGTAAAATCCAGTGTGCACCAGTGTGTAAATCCTCATCAATAAATAAGTCAACAATAATAACTTCACAGACTGCTTGTTTAATCAGTTCCTTGAAAAAACTGTAGACAACGAAATGAAATCAGTGACATCATTCTGCGCAATAATGCCACACAAGCACACCCACTCCATTATCAGCCAATCAGGAAACAGTAGTCTGCTAGTGGGTGTGGCCTAACTTTTTTGTTAGCCAATCAAATGCCATGGAATCAATTGCAATATATTTATTTAGTATTGTCTCCAATATCAAAGGAATGTTTGTAAACACCTACTCACATGCACATTGGTGAAAAATCCTGATGCCAATCATCTAATTTGCATAAATGTGTTATGTGGGTATGACAAACATGTTTTCTGTTATGTCATAAGCTTGTTTCATGGATCAATACTTTTGAGTTAAATTACCTGTGGTTGAGCATGGTGATTCTTCTTAGTATTCTTTGAAAACTTTGATATATTTCGGTTTTCATAACATGTTTCATTTTTTATCAAATATTTGAACCTTCCACGTATGTACAAAAACATGGAAGTGAAAACATTTACAATATGTTTTGTTTTTTAAACTAATATTTATGTCATAATTTTTGTAGAAGGATACAAGGATAATCTCCATGAGTGGTATAAATCACATCTGCGTCATGGTATAAGTGTTCATATCACCCAGAACACCATCTACTGACATCCTTGGCACCAATTGGTTGAATTGATGTTTGCCCAGCCTGTCCCCCTTCTTTGATTCTGTCAGTGTTGTATCATAAACTACTTCTAACCTAGACAGTGGAGCATTGTTGTAGTGCTTCACATACCTAGAGATATAAACATAATAAATTAGTATAGGGGGTTGGAGAGACTTGGAATCTCTGCAACTGTTCAGGAGGTCTTTTGCCAATCAGCAAATAGTACTCAAGGGTGTAGGGTCTCCCACTTTGTTCCCCCCTCGGGAGCAATCAGCGCCCTCTCTTGACTCTTTAAGAACTCTTGATAGGTGCTACAAGATAACTGGATGATTTGTGTAACTATGCTGATGGGCTGCTATATCTCCTAGGTTTCTACGATACACTGTAGCACATGGCTGCTTGTCAGGCTGTATTGCAGCACTTGGAATTTGGACTTTACGCTTTTCAAGTGGTTAAAAGTTAAGCAAACATTATAAAAAAATGCTTTAAAAACTGGTTGAAATTTTGATTATTTTTTTTCCATTGAATCAGGAGTGCTTGGCAAGCAAGTGTAGAGTTCTGGACAATCTACATGCCCGTGTTTGGTCCCACAACTCATACCTGTCTTTTAATTTAAATGCCAAGCATTCCATGTCAGCAGTTTCTGGTCTCTCCCTTGACCCAACAAAGTGATCCTTTGCTCAGCCTTATGTATATCACTGTAGCTCCTTGTTTATGTCGTGTGTAATGCCCTCGCTCACTCTCAAAGGCACAACAATGTGTGGAGCCCATTTTGGTCTCCCTTACTGTGATACTGCTAGAATATTGCTAAAAGCAGTGAACACCTCACTCACTCACCCACCCAAACAGACACCCACTCACCCACCCAGTCACCCACTTACCCACTCATACTCGCTCGCTCGCCTGCCCACCCATGCACCCACCTACCCACCCACTCATGCTCCCCGGCGGAGTCCCCTGATGTGATATTGCTGGAATATTCCTAAAAATATCACACTCACTCACTCACTCACTTACCCACTCACTCACTCACTCACTCACTCACTCACTTACCCACACTCATACTCGCTCCCTCGCCTGCCCACCCATGCACCCACCTACCCACCCACTCATACTCGCCGGCAGAGTCCCCTGCCCTGATATTGCTGGAATATTGCTAAAAATATAACACTCACTCACTCACTCACTCACTCACTCACTCACTCACTCATGCCATCTACCCTACCCACTGGTAACACCATTTTTTCCCACTGTACCCTGCCCCACTATGATTCCCCTTTGATCCCCACACACCCTCACACTCTCTGGCAAGAAGGGGCGGTCGGGTAGCCTAGTTGTTAAAGCGTTTGCTCGTCACGCCGAAGACACGGGTTCGATTCCCGTCATGGGTACAATGTGTGGAGCCCATTTCTGGTGTCCCCTGCCGTGATATTGTTGGAATATTGCTAAAAGCGGCGTAAAGCCTCACTCACTCACTCTCTGGCAAGTGCCCCACCTGAGTCACACCAAGCTTTCCCCCAAGGACCCGGCCCCACCAACTTCTTCCACAGACCCCACCCTCCCAGCAGCACCCATGGAGTTGACTCTTCCTCTCACAAGACCACCTGCAGGTGTTTGCTCTCCCTCATACATACTCACACCCTTCTACCCATCTATCGACATCTGCACACAAAAGCTTTATAGCAACACCCATCCATACCTGGTCATCACAACCTTTGCCTCATACATTTCTATGTACAATATCTTCTTTAACTGAACATAACACACTTTCACCACACATGGTATTTGCCCTATTACATACATAAGTAGACTACAGTCCTCTGTTCTGTTGGAGCACCTACCCACTGTGTCTCTCTCAGACAGTGCCTGAATGTGTGTCTTGTGTTAGTGATGGGAAGATTTATATACATCAGTAAATTATACCATTACTCCTCTTCTGACATGGAGCCACTCAGGGAAGACATACACTATCTAGTTGAATAAATCTGTCATAATACCCAGGACAGAACAACCTCCCAAGGTGCCCCAGTATGTACTGTGTTGGACAACGTTATTCACAACGTAAATAGCATGTTCCTTAAAGGTGCTGGATCATTTCCAGAATTACTTACAAACATACATACAGACAGACAGACAGACAGACAGACAGACTGCCGGACTGCCGTCATATAGCTGGAATATTGCTGTGTGCTGCGTTAAACAACAAACAAACATACAAACTAATATATTTCATCCCATTGTGGTTGCATCTAAAAATAGATTCATTAGTTTAATGGAATACTGCATGTTCTTGTACCAGTAAGAAGCACCCAGTTATGGATCCAACCCGTGAAGATCCGGAGTAGAACAGGTCTTCAGCAACCCATGCTTCATGTAACAGGCGACTATTCTTGTCGTAAGAGGCGACTAACGGGATTGGGTGGTCAGGATCGCCGACTTGGTTGATACATGTCATCGTGTCCCAATTGTGTAGATCGATGTTCATCATATCAATCACTGGATTGTCTGGTCCAGACTTGATTATTTACAGACCGCCATCATATAGCTGGAATATTGCTGAGGGCGGCGTTAAACAACAAACAAACAAACAAGTTAGGGATCCAGTACACTAAGGTCACAGACACCAAATGAATCACTGCGTGAACTTGCACCTTTAAGATCGTCCAGGGTTCAGCAGCTATACACCCCTAAGGATATTCTGTTTCCTTTACGTTTGTTTAATGTTGAAATGTTAGTGCTTATTGGAATCCCATCAGCGCAATAAATATGGGTGATAAAAGTTGATGGATTTTTTTTCTCAACGTTGTTGTATTCAGTTTTCTCTTTCTATATTTGTGTGCGTTGCGTACCTCAAGGATCAGTGTTTGATCCTGGGCTCTTTGAATTACCATATTCGACGTAATAAGCGCTTCGCTTCAATGTACACAAGACTTATTTATTTATGTATAATACGCACTCGTGTGTTATATGCACCCTTAATTATGGGCAATTAAATTCTGGAAAAATATATCTGTCTGTATATAAACAGTTCAGGCTGTCAGCATAAACCACGAAATTTAAGATCTTTCAACTCTGTTTTTTTTCCACCAAAATAATATTCTAATAAGAGCCCTTTATTTCTAATTTTGAGAGCGCCCTGGGTGCTTATTACGTCACATACGGTATATACCAACTGCTTTGGCAAGATCATCCAACAACATGACTTGAATCATCTTTTTATCCTAGTGATGCACAGTTGATGCACCTTTTTACTCCTGATCAACTGGCAGTCGCGTTGTGCAGAACAACTCGTTGTAGACAAGCTGTCAAGTCATGGATGAGAATTGATAAACTTATACAACAGTAAGACTAAAGGCGGACTCACACGGGTCGATATGCCGAATTCGACCGAGTCGTATCATCTGAGTGATTAATCCATTTCGATTTTGATGTCACGTGATATTTGTTTACACACAAGTGGGAAACATGGCTTCGTCTGCTGCGAAGAAACCATGAGTCACGAAAGCCTGTGGAATGTCTCAAGCAAGGATTATTCCAAAAGAGAAAAGAGGAACGCTGCATTGCCGTCTTCTTCACACAATATCGCGCAGCAGATGACTGCTGCCACGTCTGCTTCAGACATTTTGATACCATGGAAACAAATAATCGTGAAATATCATGAGATCAACACTCAATCGGCGGACCGAATCGTGTGAGTGGTAGCAAATTGATTGGTCGATATTTGCTCCAATCAGCGAACGTTGTACAATGTATGGAAATCGGCATGTTGTAATGATGTGTCGACCCGTGTGAGTCGCACTTAAGGCAATGCTGGTTGGTTGGTTCAGCGCCTGCAGAACAAGATCCTTCAATATATCACAGTTGGGAATTCCAACAGTAAGTTGTTTTCAAGTGTCAAACATTTGGGAGTTCACATGGATTCCTATCTCAGTACTGAGAATCAAGTAGATCAGCTCTGCCAGACAAACTATTTCCACCTACGCTTCAATGGATACATTTGACAACAGCAGCTGCAGCTGAGACATTGACCCAAGCCTTAGTTCTTTCAAACACTGATTTCTGCAAGAGTCTCCTTTGCTGAAAAAACAAAATTTTCTGATGTGTGTCCAGAAAATCCCAAACACAGCCACTTGAATAACTACCAGAACATGTAAGCGGTCACACATAACACCAACACTCAAGAATCTACATTGGTTGCCAACAGATCCCAAGATCCAGTTAAGGACCCTGTGTTTAACGTACCAAAGACGTATATACGTCCGTTAACGTACCAATGTCAGCATGGTGGTGCACTACCATACCTGACTGGACTGTTGGTCTACTTACAGACCTGTCGGCAGCAGCTGATCTGAAAACCAGATCTGAAAAACATTTTGTCTGTCCATATGCCCAGCTGAAACAGATTGGTCAAAGATCTTTTAGTGGTCAAAGATCTTTTAGTGTGTCAGCAACCACTCTGTGGAACAGACTGTCAACTCTTATAAGGAATGCTCCATCCCTGGACTGCTGTGGATCCATGCTCAAAACCCATCTATTCCAGCTGTCTTACTTATCTTAGTTTCAATAGTCTCCGTATTTGTCATCAATCAGGTCATGATCTATCCATTCTTATTTTGTATATAATTCTCATACATTGGTACATTGTCACGTTTACAGCATGCTTCAACATATGGTCTTTGAACCGACAGACAACAGATTATTACAAATATCTATTATATATTTCATCATCATCATTATTATTTATAAGATACTAAGGAAAAGAAGTTTCAAGAAGTTCATTAGTTTGAAATATCAAATTATACTACATTTTGATTGGCTATTGATTTTGCAATATATTTATATCTCATGATTAACAGGTCAGTGTTTTTAATACTCTATTTTAACAGTTTTCTTTTTTTGCAGATGAATTGACATACTCATTTATGACAAGCAAAAAGATAGAACCAAGCATAGCTAGCTACATTTCTATCCTGTGGAGGTCTAGACAGTATCATAACAAATAATATGCACTCTTGTTTGTCAGCTGATATGCCTTTATCAACCATGACATAATGGTATTTATTCCCGGGTGCTATTTTTCTCCCAATACAAATGTGTGATATGATCTCAGCGGTGGTTAGATATTACTTGATATCAAGGTATAGCACAGATCAGTCACACTGTATCAGCTGACAATCAGCTGACTTAATCAGTAACAATTGACACATCGGTTAAGTGAGACATGTGACAGGTTGTTTACACATGATTGTGTGTTCCAGGGAGGCTCAGGGTGCCGTGCTGGACAAAGACGACCATCACAGGTGGGGATCTATCTTTACGACGCAAACATTGACAGGGACCGACACTGGTGGGCATCACACCAGGAGTCCAAATCCCGCAGGGAGGGGGTCAATGGTCTCGATTTAACTGTTTATAACGCTTCAGTGTGTGCCTGATGGGTCACATGTGACATTGTCTGCCGCATATCTACAGCAACAACTTATGTACTTCAGCCAATTGGCTAATGTGGCAACATGACTGCAGGATTGTCCTCCAAACTCCTCAATCAAACAACTGTGTTAAGTGCCTGTTTTAAATGCTGTTAAGTAACATATAGGCTTATCATTGCAAGACAATCAAACGTAACCTTACGTTTGATCACCAAAGTCCCCTGACCTGTGGGTTAATGCTAAAGACTGTGAATCACCTCTCTATTGGGGTGGTAGCGCGACAAAATACTTGTTTCATGATCCATTACACACAAACTTCGGGACAGAACTGAGAAGAAAAGAAGACGTTAGATTGTATTTTGATAGTTTGTCTGCTCACTCTATATCCCTGAGGTATCAGTGTCGACTAATTGGGAAAGAATTTCTCGAATTCGTACTTAATTATATGTGCCTATGAAGGGCCAACACAACCAAGTGAGGAAGTGTCCTTTACAAAGAATGGCACGTCTTGAAACATCACCTGGTTTGTCAAAGTTCAGAAGTGGTGATATTGTGCACATGTTTTTGACGTGCATAACAGTAATAATTCAGCCACCCGCTCACGGCATCTGACCCCTGTTTACAACAGGGATTCCCGAAATTGCTCTCCCCGTTTAGCGTTACATCCATCACAGGTGTGTATTAGCCTCGACCAATCAGGCACCCATACCGTACATGTGCCAGTACAAGCTCCTTCAGGGCTGGTGAGCGTGCAGGGGTGCAAAATAGAAGAGGGGTGTAATAATAAACTACACAGAAGAGGGGTGTAATAATAAACTACACAGAAGATAATAATAAATTCCATACATATGTACTAATGGAAATGAATAAGGGTACACTTAGTTTTAGACACTGTAAAATGATATGCTATGATGGGTTACCGATTTTGTCTGCCAAATACGCGTTGGAAACAATCGCACAAACACATCTCAACATTTGATTCTGACATGTGTTGAGTTTGAATGCACGCTGTTTCAAATGTACTGACAGTAAAGCTTATTTTCCTATATTTTTCATTGTTCCCTTATTTGTTTCCATCAGTATATGTTCATAGCGCTAGTGTTGGAGAACTTCTCCAGCATGAAAGTCAGGGAGTCTCATTGAGATGAAATAAAGTCATGAAATATAGTTTTGATGCGTTATCATTCATCTTGAGTTTATTGCAGGAAGAAGATTTTCTTTTTGCCTTCTTTATTGATATATTTGGACTTTGATATCAGTCCTCAATGTATGATCTGTGTAGAGGGGAGATCAATATGAACGATGTAGTGGGGAGATCCATATGATCTGTATACAGTGAGAGATCCATATGATTTGTGTAGCGGGGAGATCAATATGAACGGTGTAGTGGGGAGATTTGTGCGCCTTGGAGATCCATATGATCTGTGTCCTGGGATGATCCATGTGATCTGTGTAGTGGGGAGATCCATATGATCTGGGTAGTGGGGAGATCCATATGATCTGTGTAGTGGGGAGATTCATATGATCTGTGTAGTGGGGAGATCCATATGATGTGTGTAGTGGGGAGATCCATATGATCTGTGTAGTGGGGAGATTCATATGATCTGTGTAGTGGGGAGATCCATATGATCTGTGTAGTGGGGAGATCCATATGATCTGTGTAGTGGGGAGATCCATATGATCTGTGTAGTGGGGAGATCCATATGATCTGTGTAGTTGGGAGATCCATATGATCTGTGTAGTGGGGAGATCCATATGATCTCTGTAGTTGGGAGATCCATATGATCTGTGTAGTGGGGAGATTCATATGATCTGTGTAGTGGGGAGATCCATATGATCTGTGTAGTGGGGAGATCCATATGATCTGTGTAGTGGGGAGATGCATATGATCTGTGTAGTGGGGAGATCCATATGATCTGTGTAGTGGGGAGATCCATATGATCTGTGTAGTGGGGAGATCCATATGATCTGTGTACTGGGGAGATTCATATGATCTGTGTAGTGGGGAGATCCATATGATGTGTGTAGTGGGGAGATCCATATGATCTGTATGCTGGAGATATCCATATGATGTGTGTACTTGGGAGATCCATATGATCTGTGTAGTTGGGAGATCCATATGATGTGTGTAGTGGGGAGATCCATATGATGTGTGTACTGGGGAGATCCATATGATGTGTGTAGTGGGGAGATCCATATGATGTGTGTAGTGGGGAGATCCATATGATGTGTGTACTGGGGAGATCCATATGATCTGTGTACTGGGGAGATCCATATGATGTGTGTAGTGGGGAGATTCATATGATGTGTGTAGTGGGGAGATTCATATGATCTGTGTAGTGGGGAGATTCATATGATGTGTGTAGTGGGGAGATCCATATGATGTGTGTAGTGGGGAGATCCATATGATGTGTGTACTAGGGAGATCCATATGATCTGTATGCTGGAGAGATCCATATGATGTGTGTACTTGGGAGATCCATATGATCTGTGTAGTTGGGAGATCCATATGATCTGTGTACTGGGGAGATCCATATGATGTGTGTAGTGGGGAGATCCATATGATCTGTGTAGTTGGGAGATCCATATGATGTGTGTAGTGGGGAGATCCATATGATCTGTGTAGTGGGGAGATCCATATGATCTGTATGCTGGAGAGATCCATATGATGTGTGTGTACGGGGGAGATCCATATGATCTGTGTAGTTGGGAGATCCATATGATCTGTGTACTGGGGAGATCCATATGATGTGTGTAGTGGGGAGATCCATATGATTTGTGTAGTGGGGAGATCCATATGATCTGTGTAGTGGGGAGATCCATATGATCTGTGTACTGGGGAGATCCATATGATGTGTGTAGTGGGGAGATCCATATGATCTGTGTAGTGGGGAGATCCATATGATCTCTGTAGTTGGGAGATCCATATGATCTGTGTACTGGGGAGATCCATATGATGTGTGTAGTGGGGAGATCCATATGATCTGTGTAGTGGGGAGATCCATATGATCTGTGTAGTGGGGAGATCCATATGATCTGTGTAGTTGGGAGATCCATATGATCTGTGTACTGGGGAGATCCATATGATGTGTGTAGTGGGGAGATTCATATGATCTGTGTTAAGGGGATATCCATATGATCTGTGTAGTTGGGAGATCCATATGATCTGTGTACTGGGGAGATCCATATGATCTGTGTAGTTGGGAGATCCATATGATCTGTGTAGTTGGGAGATCCATATGATGTGTGTAGTGGGGAGATCCATATGATCTGTGTAGTTGGGAGATCCATATGATCTGTATGCTGGAGAGATCCATATGATGTGTGTGTAGTGGGGAGATCCATATGATCTGTGTAGTTGGGAGATCCATATGATCTGTGTACTGGGGAGATCCATATGATGTGTGTAGTGGGGAGATCCATATGATCTGTGTAGTGGGGAGATCCATATGATCTGTGTAGTGGGGAGATCCATATGATCTGTGTAGTGGGGAGATCCATATGATCTGTGTAGTTGGGAGATCCATATGATGTGTGTAGTGGGGAGATCCATATGATCTGTGTACTGGGGAGATCCATATGATCTGTGTAGTGGGGAGATCCATATGATCTGTGTAGTTGGGAGATCCATATGATGTGTGTACTGGGGAGATCCATATGATCTGTGTACTGGGGAGATCCATATGATCTGTGTAGTGGGGAGATCCATATGATCTGTGTAGTGGGGAGATCCATATGATCTGTGTAGTGGGGAGATCCATATGATCTCTGTAGTTGGGAGATCCATATGATGTGTGTAGTGGGGAGATCCATATGATGTGTGTAGTGGGGAGATCCATATGATCTGTGTAGTGGGGAGATCCATATGATCTGTGTAGTTGGGAGATCCATATGATCTGTGTACTGGGGAGATCCATATGATCTGTGTAGTTGGGAGATCCATATGATCTGTGTAGTGGGGAGATCCATATGATGTGTGTAGTGGGGAGATCCATATGATCTGTGTAGTTGGGAGATCCATATGATCTGTATGCTGGAGAGATCCATATGATGTGTGTGTACGGGGGAGATCCATATGATCTGTGTATTTTGGAGATCCATATGATCTGTGTACTGGGGAGATCCATATGATGTGTGTAGTGGGGAGATCCATATGATCTGTGTAGTGGGGAGATCCATATGATCTGTGTAGTGGGGAGATCCATATGATCTGTGTAGTGGGGAGATCCATATGATCTGTGTAGTTGGGAGATCCATATGATGTGTGTAGTGGGGAGATCCATATGATCTGTGTACTGGGGAGATCCATATGATCTGTGTAGTGGGGAGATCCATATGATCTGTGTAGTTGGGAGATCCATATGATGTGTGTACTGGGGAGATCCATATGATCTGTGTAGTGGGGAGATCCATATGATCTGTGTAGTGGGGAGATCCATATGATCTGTGTAGTGGGGAGATCCATATGATCTGTGTAGTGGGGAGATCCATATGATCTGTGTAGTTGGGAGATCCATATGATGTGTGTAGTGGGGAGATCCATATGATCTGTGTACTGGGGAGATCCATATGATCTGTGTAGTGGGGAGATCCATATGATCTGTGTAGTTGGGAGATCCATATGATCTGTGTAGTGGGGAGATCCATATGATCTGTGTAGTGGGGAGATCCATATGATCTGTGTAGTGGGGAGATCCATATGATCTGTGTAGTTGGGAGATCCATATGATCTGTGTACTGGGGAGATCCATATGATGTGTGTAGTGGGGAGATTCATATGATCTGTGTTAAGGGGATATCCATATGATCTGTGTAGTTGGGAGATCCATATGATCTGTGTAGTGGGGAGATCCATATGATCTGTGTAGTGGGGAGATCCATATGATCTGTGTACTGGGGAGATCCATATGATCTGTGTACTGGGGAGATCCATATGATGTGTGTAGTGGGGAGATTCATATGATCTGTGTTAAGGGGATATCCATATGATCTGTGTAGTTGGGAGATCCATATGATCTGTGTAGTGGGGAGATCCATATGATCTGTGTAGTGGGGAGATCCATATGATCTGTGTAGTGGGGAGATCCATATGATGTGTGTAGTGGGGAGATCCATATGATCTGTGTAGTGGGGAGATTCATATGATCTGTATGCTGGAGAGATCCATATGATGTGTGTACGGGGGAATGCAATCTCATTCTAAATGTGAGTTTAGTTTCAATGTGTTGGTGTCAGTGTACTTAATGGTGTAAGGTAAAGCATTTTTTTGTGAATTGAAAATATACTGCACTAGAATAAATCAAGAATCCTCACGTATATGCTCAGTGTTTGAAAGTAAGCATCAAAGTCAGGGGGCCTTGTCATAGCGCTAATGTTAGAAGTTAGTGATTAGGGGGTTTCTTGATTTGAAATACTATAAGAGAAAACCTCAAGGACCCCAGGACCCCCCTTTATTTATAAACTGTCTACTACTCAAATTTTGAAAGGGTAACTGAGATATGGAAGCCTTTTGGGGCCATTATGATTATTAGTAATCAGTATAATAATGTCTGGATAGGAATAGGTACCCAGCACCCAGTCACTGGTTTGTCTGGTCAAGACTTGATTTCTTACAGGCCGACATTCAACTGCAGTACTACTGAGTGCAACATTAGCTAAACTAAAGGATATATTCAAATTATTAAACACATCAATTGAGCGTCACATTTGGATGCTGGTTTAAAATAATTATATTTGTGCTTTGTGCAAAAAAACGGACAAACCATTTCGCTGCAGGTAGTCGACACACATATTGGAGACTGTGTGGTAATAACAACTCAGTCAGGCATAAAAGCCAGACATACGTGGTCATATGTATGAAAGCGATCAGCCAACTGGTTACTCTCTGCCTGTGTGCCTATTGTACTCCGTTCTTAACTGGCATTTAAACTGCCCCATAGCATTACAGGTGAAACTTAACCCTTTATTCACAACCCTGGGCTGATTGGAGATACCTCTTTGAAATATAGCACAGAAGCAGTTTGTCAATTGGTAAAGATTCAGAGCATTCAAATAAAATATGATATATTAAAGTACCATTAAGTCGACTTAGGCTCAGTGGGTTGGAAATATGCTGGTTGATCTGTCTTAATGTCAGCAACATATCAAATCAAGTTGGGTATTTCACATTTAAACTAGTGTTATTGCTCAATTAAGACATTTTCTTGCATTCTTCTGGAAACTCCCATGAGAATAGCCTTTGAGGCTGTCCGCTTGGTGTGGTGTCTTGAAGAAGAAAAAGCATCAATGAAGATTGACAATTAATATTTTAGAAATATTTTACACATTTTTCAGCAATAACTTGCTAAAATAATTGTGTTGTTGATATTGTTATTTTCTTTACTTAGGGACTGGTCATTTTGTTTTGTGGGGGGAGGGGTGTGTGATATTTGGTCTTAGGACTGTATCATATTTTGCTGACTGTAATATTTTGTCATGCCTCCCCAACAAATACCTGTAACTTTAATTTTGTTCATGACTCCCCCTCCCTATAAACAATGACCAGTATTCCAATTTATGTAAGTTAAAGTTTGAAATAATAGAACTGACATTTCTTCATGGCCTCTCTCTTTCCCTGTGTCATATTTATGACCCCCCATTATTATCTCTTCCCCCCCCCCCCCCCTCCCCATATAATAAATAATTTATCCCTTACTGTATATATTTCTTGGAAGATGAAAGTAATGTCATTAAAATATATATTTATAAAAAGAAATTGATTATTCATTGTATTTTTGTTTTTCTACAGAGAATTGGGTACATTTTAGCCTAAGAATGAAAATTTTGATTTGAGTTTAAAGACTTAATTTTCTTATGCGTAGTTGCAACGGTTTATTTTGGTCCCACACATTGGTATGCAAGTTAGGTGAGTGTTTGTTGTTTGTTGCACTCAGCAATATTCCAGCTATGTGATTGTGTCATGTAAATAAAACCAGCAATTGTCAAAACACACAATGATTACTGTATTCGACGTAATAAGTGCTCCATCCTAATAAGTGCCCACGGCGATATTTGTTAATATATTGTCTAGTGGACAATCCCAAATAGCACCCCTTCCAATTGATCAATGTACACAAGACGTATTTATTCGTGTATAATACGCACTTGGTGTTCTATGCACCCGTAATTATGGGCAATTAAATTCTGGAAAATATATCTGTCGTGTATAATACGACTTTTCTTCTGTATCATTTCAGGCTGTCAGCATAAACCACGAAATTTACGATCTTTCAACTCTTTTTTTCTCTCACCAAAATTATATTCTAATAAGAGCCCCCTATTTCTAATTTTGAGAGCGCCCTTGGTGCTTATTACGTCAAATACGGTATATCCCTAAGGGACCGAGCTGCCACTGTGGTGTAGTTGATAGAGCGTCTGCTCGGAGAGCGAAAGGTGGGTGGTACGATCCCCTGGCCGGGTCATACCAAAAGATGTTAAAAGGTGGTACTTGCTGTTACCCTGCCTGGTCCCTGCAGTCTACACTTGCTCTAATAGTCAATGTCTCAGTTCTACACAGGGCACTAATTACATCTAGACCTCGGCTGCAAATTGGCGTCAGGATGCCCCTTTATGGCAGTGTGCAGGAACTCCCCAAATTTGGTTTGATTTCTAACTGTTATGTAAGGTTATAACAAGGACACCTATGCTACCTTTCTTAGTTTTTAACAAGTTACTGAGCATTTGATGCCTGATAATTTTACTTTTGAAACCTCAGGCCAGCCATTGTGACTATCCGAACCGCCTCTGGTGGATAGAGCACTTGCCCTGAGAACGGAACGTCATGGGTTTCATTCCCGGCCGCGACATACCAAAAGATGTTAAAAGATGGTACTTGTAGTTACCCTGCCTGTCACACTTAAGGGACTAACACTAGGACTTGGTGGCTTTGAGCTCGTAAATTGTGTGTGAGTGGTATATTCATGTTAAACTGCAGCATGCTATCTCAGTGGGCTAGCACTACAAAATCAGCATTAATCCAAGCAGTACTAGTACAAGCAGCCACATGCACGTCGCTGTATAAGTGCAATAATTTTGAACGTGACGATAACACTCATTTCACCTCATGTGACCATCTGATCCCCTTCAAAGTTTTATACCACTTTGAAGATCTTCTCAGTCATATGATGGACTGAGTGAGTGAGTGAGTGAGTATGGTTTTACGCCGCATTTCGCAATATTCCAGCAATATCACGGCAGAGGACACCATAAATGGGCTTCACACATTGCACCCATGTGGGAATTGAATTCGGCCTTCAGCATGACGATCAAATGCTACCACACCACCCTGGTGTGGGAGGAATACCTGAATGATGCAGGTCCTTGGCGTTTAAAACCCATGAGCATGGTATGGAGCTGACAATCCCAGAAACATGGAGGGTGAATCAGGATTTGAACCAAGAACATAGGAACACTGATTTGCGCCACCTTAGATGACTGGGCCAACCCGTGCTCCCAAGAAAGCAAGGAAATAGAACAATAAACAAACCTGTTTGTTCTCATTTATTTACAATGACAAATGCTCACTGACATCTTATACAAAATGAACTTCCATCACACATAAGTTGTTCATAAAACAACCAGTCAACAAGACCAAGCAGATATCATTCCCATCATTTAAAAACAAATAAATATGCTCATAAACAGAAGCCACATCTATGTTTATCATAAGCAGTGCTCACACATTAGAAGAAGGGAGAGTAGTCACAACTGAAGGTTCAGTGTCATCAGGTTTTTGCCTACCAGTATTTATTCATTGGTCATGATAAAGAGTGAGTGAGTTGGGTTTTACGCCGCTTTGAACAGTATTCCAGTTATATCCAGGCGTGTCAGCTAAATGTGGGAGGAAAGCCCAAAGTGATGCAGGTCTCAGACGTTTACCACTTCGGTGCATGATAAAGAGAAGACAAGTACCTGAAAACCTCATAATTCATCCCTAAGGTGTTAATTAGATAAAACAAACTTCGAGCTAAAGGTGTTACAGAAGGGAGAAAGAGATTCTGCACATTGATCTGGATCAGGCTTCTACTGTGTCATCATGATTCATTATCCCGGACTTGCTTATGCAGAAAGAAATCTTTTGTTTCCTAATTCTGTTTGTACACAGGGAAGATGAGCAAGAGTGAGTGAGTGTGTTGGGTTTAACGCCGCTTTTAACAGTATTCCAGTTATATCGCGGCGTGTCTCAGTCTCAGACGTGTACCACTTCGGTGAAACCCACGAGCACGGGTATGGTGCTGACAAACCTAGAAACATAATCGGGGCGAACCGGGATTCGAACCCACAATCATAGATTTCTGGTGTGCCCAAGGGACGCAACTCTGCACAGCGAATCGCGACGACTGGGCCACCCGTGCCCCCAGATGAGCAACAGTGTTATGGCTACCTGTATATCTATGACAAGAGAATGTTAATTTTTATTCATCGTACGGATAATGCTCAAACCAGACAATGCAAAACAAGGCTTTATTTGGTCTTGAAAAGCTTGACTCAGTGTAGATTCAATTATACCCCTTGCAATTCTTGTAGAATGTATCCCGAAATTGTCAATTGTCAAATGTCAGTTCATCTGTACATTGTAGATTAATGCTAGCTGGTACTACCAGACTAAGCCACTTGGAAATGCACATTTATTTATTCTTTCAAAAGGTTATGGCAGTGAGCAGCCAACATTTGTTTGTGAAATCGTTGATCACTACCAGCATGTATCATCTCGGTTAGTTGTTTTAATGCCACACTCAGCAATATTCCAGCTAGATGACAGTGGCGTGTACACAAGTCTGTCTGGACCAGACAGATCAATGTGTGATATTATGAACAACGATCTATGTCGTCAGGACTGTTGACTATCAATCAAGGCACCAAGCTGACCATTCGATCCCATAAGTTGCCTCTTACATACAACCAGCATAGGTTGTTTGGGACGAATGCTAACCCCGGAATCCCCACGGAGCTTATCACATGTATCATTCTATATATTTTATAACAATCAACTGGCAGTATCAAAGAAAAGATAAGTGTCACGCCCTACTTCTATCCAGCTGTTACTGACGATGCAAAACGGGGCTCAACAGGCAAGTTTCCTATTAATCAACTAGATTTTTCAATAGACAATAAAGTTAAAAAACTTTGTTTAACGCTGCACTCGGCAATATTCCAGCTTAATGATGCACTCTGTAAATAGTCGAGTTTGGACCAGACTATCCAGTGAGTGACATCATGAGCTTCAGTCTATGGTATTGGGATACAATGTCATGCATCAACAAAGTAAGCGACCCTGACCACCCGATCCCATTAGTTGCCTCTTACGACAAGCATAGTCGCCCCTTACCACAAGCATAGTCGTCCCTTACCACAAGCATGGGTTGCAGAAGACCAATTCTAACCTGGATCTTCGTGGGGAGATGATTTAAGAGCTACATTGGCTTGGGTTTTTTCTTTAGAACGAGACACTCACCTATTTGTACAATATTCTCGTGATTGAAGCTACTGTGGCATGGTGTTGACTTGCATAATAAATGCACAAATAATTCATAAAAGTACAGCAAGAACACCATCAAACGGAAGCCTAAATCAAGGATTCATCAAAAGGACCATATTTCATTTGCCTGTATCAATGTGAAACCTGCTCCTTCCCAAACATAAAATCAGAGCGTACAGTTGTAAAAACACTTAAATTAATTTTGTCAATGTAGAAGTGGGCTCATATCTATAAACAAGATAAAATGGGTCTGTTCAACTTATGAAACTCTCCCCATACATTTGCTGAGGATCATCTGGAAGTGATAGTGTCATTTTGAAAAAAATCTGTATAAGCAACTCCCTACGACTTTCACAACTAAGTTGAAGGTTGCTTGATACCAGCTCATTATGCACAGGTAATATCACCAGCAAAACATCAGTCTTTTCCAAGCAAATCTATCACGTTGGTTTCTGCACAAATTCCTTAAGAAACAAACCCCAGATATAGTCTGAGACAGATACATATGAAAACTTGTGTACAGACTTCAAAGCTGATAACAAACACACTTTTACAAGTATTACCCCATCCTCGATTATCTGGGGTATTATGTCTCGATTCTATTGTGATAAATACCTTGGGCCATATGCTATCATTGTTTCATTTTTTTAGCCTAGTTTGAAATGGAATGATGCTAAAAACAGCCTTCCAATTAAATTACTCTGAGCAAGAATCGAGTAAGTTGGAGATAGAAGTGATGGATGCAATGAAGTCACTCCCAAAATGAAACTATCATCGTGGCTCCATATCTATCGTAATACATTGATAATCAAGGATCAAATATCAGCAAGAAATATTTTACTATTTATTATTTCAAGTTCATGTCAAGTACATCCAAAAATGTCTCTTCAATGTTGAGTCAACATTAACAAATCAACTCGGCCCCGACTAAACAAAAATGTGTGATTGCAGGAGAGACCACAGGGTTGGAAAGGACCTATAAGGACAAACAAATTCATGAATAGGCAAATGCAGACTTTGAAGACACAATACAATCAACAAGTGTGACTTCATCACATGATCACTAGAGTCTGCTAGCCATGCATGATGCAGAAAGCACAACTACACTTGTCCTTAAAGGGGGGCTAGGTTCGTGCTAAATGGCAGTCCCGGCCGATTGGATTCAAGTACCTCAAACACTACTTTTCTTGACATCTACTGCAGATTTTATTATCTGGCAGTCTGCATGTCTCGATGTCACTCACGACACTAATTACATTTCCTAGATTTAGACCGAAACTACTTCTCAACTTTTGATGTGCATTTCGCTTTTATTCCATGTTGTGCCAACTGATAACAGTAAAATGTACATCCAGAGTGAAATCACATAGCTTAACAAACCGTAGTACATAGTTATGTCCCATTAGTTATATATCAACAACACAAATTAGACATTGTTATAAATACGTTAATCCGAGACCAGCATAATTCAAAGTTCCCCTGTGGGCTACCACTTACCGTATATGACATAATAAGCACCCATGGTGATATTTGCTAACATATTGGCTAGGAAACAATCCCAATTAGCACCCCTTCTGATTGATCAATGTACACAAGACTTATTTATTCGCGTATAATACGCACTCGTGTGTTATATGCACCCTTAATTATGGGCAATTAAATTCTGAGAAAATATATCTGTCGTACATAAACATTTCAGACTGTCAGCATAAACCACGAAATTTATCTTTCAACTCTTTGGTTTTTTCACCAAAATAATATTCTAATAAGAGCCCCCTATTTCTAATTTTGAGAGCGCTCTGGGCGCTTACTACGTCGAATACGGTATAGTGTGAGGTGGATGGCAGCTCTGTAGCAGATCCTTCAGCAGACTTTTTGTGAAAATAAAACTTAATTTCTAATGGTGCAAATCGTAATAATGTTTTACTGTAACAATGGTATATAAATAGGAACACCACAGTAGCCCTATCAAGACTGGATTATAAAATTTACAGAACTAAAAAAAAAGGGATTATGAATAATATTGGGGATTTTGTTTCGCAGTGAAGACTGAGCACACAATTTCATAAAAATGTCCCCCAAAACATTCATGATCCTTAACTTTCATTATTCAGTATATTAGTTCCTGATGGTGTGGAGATGACTGATAACTTTTAAAGGGAGGTAAGCGAACATGACAAAGCTACTTTATCACTGTTTCTTCTGTTTCATAGAGTTGGAATGATAGTGAGCACACTGCCACTTGCTGCACAATGTTACATAACAGATGTGCCGTATTCGCTATATTACACACCCAGCCTAAAAAAGAATCCCCGACCAATATCAAGACCAATTTTTATGTAGTCTTTATAGGCACCTGCTACTAAGACCAAATATTGACAATACATTCCGTATTTCCTTGTGTAAATTACAGATTTCTTTCAGAAAACAGCAGTATAGAATGGGTATATAGTTGCCTAGCAACCATGATAAAAACATGTTTTTTTGGCTTCATCAATGTTTGAACTAACTACTGTTTGATCTCTGAAATGGTTTTCTGTATGGTTTTAGTCTTTTATCATTTTACTAAGCGCCAGGGCGTTTATTACGGCGAATACGGTCTGTGAAAATCTTGAGATCAGGTATCAACACATGTTATTTTAACAGCATTCAACCTTCCTGTTGATTGTTACATTGGCCATTTGTCAAGTCAAACTTATTCTTTGCATAAAAAATATATTCTCAAGGCCACAATAAATGAATTTAGATTTTCATTCAAATTTGTGCGGTAGGGGGACTTTATTGTTTGTTTTTTTATACACACTTTCAAGGTATATGAGCACACTACTCTGATGAGATTCACAGGAAGCACAAGGGTTTATTGGCACTACAATTATGGCGTATTGATCAAATAACCGAAAGAAGCACAACGATTGTACACTGTCGGTTTCGACAACTGTGTGAGGCGGGGTGTTTGGTAGTAAGGCGGTGGGGAAGAAAATCAAATAATTAATTTATTATGGCCTAATGTAACACAATTCATTGAAAATAACACCAGCTCAGCATATCATACCGAGGTTGGGATACTGCAACCCTAGTAAAATAATCAGTGCTTGGGTATAGTTGCATGCCATTATCAGCAATATACAGCAATATGGGGACACCAAGGTTCCATGGACTATACCCAAGTAAGAAATAGAGCCAAAGTCTTTGGAGTGACGACGCTCCAATCAGCTACCTCCCCACCCTTTAATAAATTTGAGAAACACTCCAGAAATCCAGTTATAGAACAACAATCAAACAGTTTACCAATTCAAAGTTCCAGTCACCTAACTGTACAGAACAAGGGTGTGTATTCATACAAGTAAAACAATTACTGCTGAATCAGCTGGATTTTCTGCCCTCCTCTTCAGACTGTTTTTCCTGAAGTGGCCATTTAATTAGTCCTGCTGCCGGATAACATGATCTGTAGCAAGTGAGAGCATCGCTTCTTACAGTCATTGAACACCACATAACATAGAATTTTTAAAGACATATGACTCTGATTAAATTTTTAGGAGCTGAAAACAAATCCTCCATCAGGCCGAGCCCAAAGGAGTACATTTAATACCTTCCTCTCACAATCACATTTGTTGCAGTGATACAAGGCCAAGTTCCCAAGGCACATGTCTACATGAACTACGTCATATCTTGCCTTACATTATTGGACATGTCTTTCATATATAGCTTAACATCCTTCACATTTGTCAATCTGTTATAATATATTGAAAAAAATACACTCACCACCAAAAATACGCAAATACCATACATGTTGGTTAATATACTAAAGAATTACCAATATTCAAGAGATATTAGATTGGTTCAATGCACAAATGGTCGTGTGAACCAATGCTCATGAACGAAGCATGTGACATCATACATCCATGACTCGAGATGCACCTTTTGTCTCGTGCAGGATAAGCGTGTAAAGTTTGGAAATCTCATGCAGAATGTTGTGATAAGAATAAAGACACTCTGTGGTAACACTTGACCAAGTGTTAGTTTTGTCGTTAATTGGTACACATTGGAAACATCTCTTCATAACTTACATACTTCACCATACGTTTCTATGGTTCATGTTTCTTTTGGTGGTGAGTATAGTTAGGGATCAGGACTATTTAGGGTTTATTTTGTAGTGATGACTGAGCGCACAATTCCATATTTCACATATAAAAATATTTCATGACCCTTAACATTTTTTGTTCAGTATAATTCATCCTGACAATATAAACCTGTCGGCCATACACAGTCAAATAATCCCAAACCAAATGTGTCAGTTCATAACAAATCATTTATGGAAAGTTTGAAGTAAATATATCAGTAACAAACTAGCTCTTTGTCAGGACATTACTGATAATGTACATGTCTCTCCATGCAAAGCTATCTTTTAGAGGATCATATCTGATTTTATGGTAGTACACAAATAATAAGAGTGAGTGAGTGAGTGAGTGAGTATGGTTTTACGCCGCTTTTAGCAATATTCCAGCAATATCACAGCGGGGGACACCAGAAATGGGGTTCATACATTGTACCCATGTCGGGAATCGAACCCGGGTCTTCGGCGTGACGAGCGAACGCTTTAACCACTAGGCTACCCGACCGCCCCTACAGAAATAAGAAACACTACCTAAGTTGATATCAACCAGTTGTAGAAGTATGGCATAAGACATCATCTAGTTGTAGAAATAGGGTCGTTAAGTTAGTGAGTGAGCGAGTTTTGTTTTACGCCGTTTTTAGCAATATCCCAGCAATATCACGGCAGGGGACACCAGAAATTGGCTTCACACATTGCGCCCACGTCGGGAACCGAACCCGGGACTTCGGCGTGACGAGTGAACACCAGTTTCCATGTTGGGGACTTCACGACACACTGCTGCATGATTTCGAGAAGATTACAGCTGTTGAAAACTGTCCTCACAGTGACTCAAATGTGTCTGTGTGTTTTAATAGCATCTGTTTGTGTAGTGACTGGAATGTGTCTGTGTGTTTTAATAGCATCTGTTTGTGTAGTGACTGGAGTGACACTTTCACATCATGATGACATAGGTCCATGCACTGTAAACACCAAGCATCTGACTCGCTGAGAAAGAAGAGCAACACACAACTATGTTGTAAACGAGATCTGCTGAGATTCAGTACATCATCAGCTCACCTGACCCAACATTACAATATGCCACCTAATCCTGGCTATCAAAGTTCATCACATCTTCACAAGGCCAGTCAAAATTATTCTTAGATTACCATCCTAACAGACCTTCAATTTTATTTGCTTTTACTTCAGACTTACCGGTACTTCTGAGCACCAAAATGACAATTCTGTCCCGGAAAGGATTCAACCCCAAAAAGTACTAAAATCTGTAGTTTACTGAAAGTGTTACCCCAAATATAACATTTGACCACTTTCTAAGCATTGTGTGTTCAATTCTGTCAAGTTCTTGGGTTTTTTCAAGAAGAAATAAAATATAAATTGTTACCAATTTTTCAGGAAAGGATGGAGGATAATCCAAATAATTTATCTGGCCATATTAGATCTATGTACAAACAGCTAACAACTACACTCTCATTGAAGCTGACACAGTAACTCTGCAGTACTAGGTACAACTTAAGTCTACAGCTGTACATGACTACGGGTAAAAACGGACAAAAATTGCACGATTGTAATATGAAGGGGCTCTCGTCTTGAAAGACAATTTGGAAACATTTACTCTCATATTTCCCATGATGCATTTGATAACGTGACAATTGTGAGAAACATATTTCTTTGGGTGAATTGGACTGCTTCGTGTACAATGCTTTACTCCTTGAATGAAATGAAATATTTAGCAACCCTGCAGCTAATACAGGCAGCTGAAGTAAAAGAGTCGTGTTGAATGCTACTTTGGCCATGCTGCAGCAACATCTCAGCGAGGGACATCCAGAACGGGCTACTGGATGCTGGCTGAAGCCTTGATGCCTGATGCTATGAAGGTTTGGATTTCCCATGTTGACTTGTTAAAAGACATTACAATTTCTATTTCAGGGGTCTAATATAAATCCTTTTAAACATCTGAAACTTCATCTCTTTCATCTGCCTGTAACCATGTACCAATGAATTGTCTTGACACATAAGTCCACGTTTATTGTCTGATATTGTTTGGGCCTTTCAAAATGTATAATAACTATCAAGTTCCACATTTTCGGGAAACGTTTATAGAAAGTTTCTTCTTATATTCGACAAAATCATGTCAAAAACTACTTGCCCATGTCATGGTCTAAAAACTTTATACTTGGTCCTCATCCCATGTCTTCCAGAATAAGTGAAACGGAATCTAATTTCTGATTTTACACTTTACCTATGTTCAATCTCATTAAAATCAGATCTTAGTTCTCGCTATCGCGAAACAAAGATCTGAGGACATCCCATTACGGGTCACGTCAGAATGACCTTTCATCCGACCAATGAAAGCGTCACTTACCAGATCATGAAAGTGACAGTCGGAATGTGTTTTCTAATCATGCAACCTCGAAAACGTTAACACGGCGTATTCCGAACAACAGTTACGGCCCGTACGACTGATTCCGTCAAAATTATCGTCTGAACATTTGAACGGAGGAGGCGTTGGGAGGAACGTGGGAAGCACTGCCATACAATCGCAACCATATATTACACATTCCAGATTGTTCAGTTTTCAAAATTCTAATCGAGAACTGTGTCAATATATATTTTTCAAGCGTAGTCTGAAATGGAACTGGCCAGGTTGAAACGAGTTCCGTAAAGCTCGAGAAAGCCACTTTCTCACTGGCTGATATCGACTTCTTGTTATTCATTTCAGTGGTCGGTCAAAATTCGCAAAAGGTCGTACTGACGTGACCCGTAATGGGATGTCCTCAGATCTTTGTTTAGCGGCAGCGAGAACTTAGATCTGATTTTAATGAGATTGTACCCATGTTAGACTTCAGAGTCACCATAATCTGAACAATAGCTTAAATCTCTTGGCAAACAAGATCAACATGATTAATGTCACTGGGCCTGTTTCAAGTGAACATCAAATTTTCATCCATACCATACAGTGACCTCACTGATCTTGGGAACATGGCCTTTAAAGTAAATATTGTATATATGATGCTGATGTGCAGAGGATGTCATGGACAGGTTATGGAATAAATGACACTATATTTGTGACAAAGATCAGTCAAGTTTTGAGAGATAACATACTGCAAAAGTCTTCTTATGCAGAAGCAAATGAGATGAAGGTACATGACTACATGTCCAGTAACCTTGCTGTCTCTCAGATCAAAGGTGTCTTTCTATAGTCACAAGATGTATGAACGGATGATATTATTAAGTTTGAAGCATAGATGATCAGATGAATATTTCCATGAGCAGATTTGTAATCTGCTCATAAATCTCAATTCTTTGTGAAACAACAACAGTACAGCCTTCAAGGCACCAGGCCTTCAAAAGTTTTGATAAATTCAGCAAATTTCTGCTGCCTCTTTGATCGTCCAATGAATCTGTTCCCTGACTGGTCACATGGCCTCATTGCTTTCCAATGAACTTACAACATATTTACTTTCCATATTTTCCAGTGAGACGTTTGTCGTGGGATGACTCCCTGGCTTCACAGCCAACAAGGTTGTAGATGGCAGTCCATATGTGCCATGCCAACGCTGACAATTCAAATGTTTGGAAAATATCGTCATTGACCTCATTTACATTGTCAAAGAAGATGGAAACTCTGAAATCTCTTCTGAAAATGATGTTCCAAAACAGTCAAGGTTCAACATATATGACCAATGATGAGTCAGTAATGACCATTGATGTTCCAAATACTTAGGTAACATTCTTTTATTAGTCAGTCCTTCAATCAGACACTCCTGTACTTCCGTTCTTCACTTCTCTGGGTATAAACAACTTTTCAGCCAGTGAAGACCTAATGCTTCATCATTCAACACCATGACTGGTCAACTGTTTCAGCCTTTTATGATCAAATACTTAGGTGTTCAACACCATGTTGATTCCACCATTCCTTGGTCAGCTCTTTCAACCAATGACGTTCCTGCTATTCTGTATTCAACACCATTTGCAAGCACTCATTGGTCAACTCTTTCAGCCAAGGAACTGTCATAACACTTTCAGTTTCCATACCAATCCAGTAATGAAGATCTCAAAAACAGCATTGGTCATCACCATTAGCCAAAGGAACCGATCTTCAGCTGCCATGAGCCAATCAAATCACTGATCCATTCCAACAATAGCCAATGAGATCAGTTGTTGCCATTTTCAGTTGGTGAGTCTTCATCATTGGCATCGTGACTTGTGCTGGAAGAGTTTGTGTCGCTACTCGCGTCCGAGCTATGATTTGTATTTTCAGAGGAAGAAATATGTCCGTTCATTTTTGGCTGGTAATCCGTGATGATGACTGTCACATTGTTCACGGTGACTGGGATGTGCTGGGCGCTACTTCGATCTATGTTCCTTAACCTTGGGGGTCTGCAAGATAAGACACACCATTATCAACATTGTATATATTCAGCGGATCAATAGTTGGTTTGTTTGTTTAACGCCGCACTCAGCAATTTTCCAGCAATATGACAGCGGTCTGTAAAAAATTGAGTCTGGTCCAGACCATCCAGTGATTGACATCATGAGCATCGATCTGCGCAATTGGGATCAATGACATGCATCAACCAAGTCAGCAAGCCTTACCACCCGATCCCGTTAGTCGCCTCTTACGACAAGCATAGTCGCCTTTTACGGCAAGCATGGGTTGCTGAAGACCTATTCTACCCCGAATCTTCACAGGTCGAATCAATAGAAGTAAGACTATTAACAAGTATGTGCATAAATAGTCTTTAACACTTACATCAGAGAGTTTAAATGTCAGAAGACTTGCATTTTATTTCAGACTAGCAAGCTCATTATATAGTTGTTCTTATGCTAAATATAGAATCTCACCCTTCTGTTTTTAATATCAAATATATCTTCACAAGTTGATAAAAGCTTAAAGCACCTAGGCTTGCATCTTTCTCAGTTTGCAAACACTAATATCCAGTGTCTTGAGTTTAAAAAATACAGCTAACTTGCTTCAGTGGCAGAGATTAGTGATGTCATTTCATTGTGACGTCATCAAAACTGATGTCATAATGGTCTGCAAGGCATTATGATGCAATTTCATTGAAGCGATATTTCCTTGGTGACACTGCTTGATCTCACCCAAGCGACATCTCCTGTGGAAGCCAGTTTTGCAAGATAAAACTATTTTCATGATATTGAAAGAGAAGTTCGAGCCAGTAGGCTCAGTGGTTTGGTGTATAGACGCCTAGATTATTAATGAAAAGATGACAAAATGCTGGGTTTATCATTATAATCAGAAGGAAATTGTGCAAACACCCAACTTCCCAGTTAAGTAAGCTGTTCAACATGCATTGGTTATCCCCACCCAAGGGGCACCTGCATGAGAACATTTCAAACACTCATACCAGGCAACAGACTCACACACTAGCAGCTAGGGCCTAAGGGGTGTCAGTGATTGGAAAGTTTGATACAGACACGTCAACTGAAAAGTATCATGATATATATCGATTAACATCAAAATTAGTTATTGTGTGCGCATAGATATGAAATTTCTATGTAGATCTGCAATTAATAAACCTAGTGCTAAAAATGTACTTGGCTGATCCATTTCATATTTAAAATTGAATTTTGGTGCTTCTTACTGTCCATCATAACCATGGTAACCTTAACAGTTGAAACATTTCTGTGGCAGTGAATTGATAAGTTAGTATTGATATTCCTAAATATATATTGCAGTACAGACTGTAAACATTTATTGATACAAGGATATCACAATATATGATGACATCACTAATAGTATTTCATTATTCACAACTTGGAGGTTGTAGATAATTCACAAGACTCAACACCACTCACTGCCTGTTGTATTCTCCTTCTAACCAGGTACCCATAGGATCCAACCAGTGAGTGAGTGAGTGAGTGAGTGAGTGAGGATTGTTTTAGGCCACTTTTAGCAACATTCCAAGATGGGTGATGGCAGGGTTTGTTGACCTGGGTAAAAATGTGATCATCTTCCCGAGGCAAGTGAGTTAACTGACTATAATAAAAGTCCAGTTTCCACCCTTGCCGAACTAGGCTGGTATTATGGAGTTACATTTTGGCTGGGAAATCTGGTTCGTATCTGTCAAGCAGATTTCGGTCAAGTGCAGGATTTGCAAAGCATGTGCACCGCTAACTCGCTGTCAACAGATATTTTCTATATCTTTTCATGTTTTTAATCAAGGGGCTCACGTGATTTGATGCACTTCGCGATGTAAGACTTGTTTGATCACAATATAGATCTTGATTATCAATCAGATCGTCTTGACTGGACGCCACCGTTTTGTTTGAAGCAAATGCAAGTGATACGAGAGGTTGAATCTGATTGGTCAATAAGAGAGACATAGGAAGGACATTACTCATCATAGCCACTGGTGGCGCTACGATCGAGCCCAGGAATTCCAGCCTAGTTTGGCAAGGGTGGAAACTGGACTTTTATTATAGTCAGTTAACTCTCTTGCCTCGGGAAGATGAAATGTGATGGACTTTGAGCATATGCCTCCATGGATTGGTGTCTTGTATCATAAGTTGCCTTTTACGCAATACTCATACATCTCAGACTAGTGTAGCCTTCATCAATGAATTTTAATGTTCTAGAATAAAAAATATTTTCTAAAGCTTTGTGAATCATGATACTGTATTTTTTAAGAGAACACCTTCCTATCTTTCTTGGTTACTTGGGTCATGCTTAAAGTTAGCGGTGATGAGAATTAACATAACATTAACCCTAGTTAACTGTGATGAGAATTAACATAATATTAACTATAAATCCACACTTCAACAATTTTTCGAATTTTTTTAAGTGGAGTGAGTGAGTGAGCGAGTTAAAACTTAACATCGCATCGGCATTATCTCAGCCATATAGCCCCGAGACCAAGTTAATATATTTACAATTTAGTCATTTATGCAAAGTTTTGTTTAAAAACATTTGTAAAACATATTTGAGTATACCATATTTAGAAACAATTCATGAAACATATTTGAGCATAACAATATTATCTATACAGTTTTAAAACACGGGCTATTTTTAAGTGGACAATATCCGAAAGTCACCAGTACTATCCTAATAACTTCACTGATACATATGACATAGCCATAGAAAATCTGTGTGTTGTATTGAATACATCAAAGCCTAATAATACATCTTGGTTCATGGACAGTCAGCCTTAATTTGGAAAATAAAACATAATCAAAAGCTGTAATGATTATGAATGATCCTGGAAATGGTTCACGAGGATGATATGGCTGCCACAGTGGCCATTTTGAAATCCCGAGTTCACAAACGACAGACAATGAAGGAAAGATGGACTGAAGATGACCAACAACACGACGACATACTCACCTTCAGTCCAGGTGAGCTACAAAATAGTTTATCTAGATTTTACATCGGGAGATCAATTTTTGATTTCAATACATTTTGCATATCATAATCTTTTCATACAGGGAATGATGACATATTCGTCTGGTTTCTTCTCAACGTAAATGATACAACGCAAGTACAACCACACCATTAGATTATTTCCACATACCGGTAAGTATAACCACACCATTAGATTATTTCCACATACCGGTAAGTACAACCACACCATTAGATTATTTCCACGTAAGTATAACAACACCATTAGATTATTTCCACGTAAGTATAACCACACCATTAGATTATTTCCACGTAAGTATAACCACACCATTAGATTATTTCCTCGTAAGTATAACCACACCATTAGATTATTTCCTCGTAAGTATAACCACACCATTAGATTATTTCCACGTAAGTATAACAACACCATTAGATCATTTAAAAAAAATTAAGTTCTCTGACGTAAGATTGCGCACGGTCTGAGGCATTAGTTTTAAATAAATATGGAGTACCCCAACTGATCCAAATCTGTTAGCGCTAGAAAAACATGAAGCGTTCGACAGTGTATTGTACTTTTAAGGATCACATACAGAAATTAATGTTAAATGGTACCAAATAATATATCAATATTCATTCCTATCCAGTACATTTTTCTGCATCCCACTGGCTGTATTTTTTAGTGTGTTTTCAATTTGTATGCCACTGGGATGAAGGATTTCAGTCCGGTAAATCCCACTTAGTAGTCAATGTTTCTTTCTTTTCTATTTAGTTCATCTAATCAGGGCACTTTTCTTACTGTTAATCAGACAGTTCAATCTAGACCCATTACTCTTGACACCTAGCACAGACTAATCGTCATCGAACCAAGCCATATTCCTACAAAGTCCATCGTTAACTTTGGGCAATGACTGGACACCGTGTTGGACTACAAATTGAAGCAGTCAATATATTTCCATGAGTATTAACAGTGACAAGATTAGCCTGTTTGTGGACAGGCCACAACAGTAGCCACATCGCCCGGGTGGGCTGGATAAACAGTAAGGGGGATCTCAAAGCAGTCATATCTTAGATTAGCACAACCCTGTCAAGGGTCCCCACAATCAGCCTCGTCTCACTCAGCCAATACATCTCCGTGGCTTTTGTCAGCCTATTCACAGTCCTCAACCCAGCGTTAATTCAGCTTTCAATAGATGGTCAGGTAATTGGTTCGCTATTGCAGATCACCATGCATTGAAAACTGAGGACCTTGTCGTGTCGAACACCTTCGTGTGATTATCTCTACTTCTCGTCCTTCCGCAGATGTTCAGACTGGGTTCTGTCTAGTAGTGATGTATGGACTCACCAGCTGCCACCCACCTCAGTTGCTTATATTGCTACTCAGGCAGTATACAAAAGACATGTTCGGGGGGAGGGGGGGCTTGTGTGTCAAAAGAATACCTGCATTTCCAGTCAAATCATTGAATGAGCATGTTATTCCATGTCTGCTTCTGTCTGTACTTAATTAATATCTATGGTCAATTAGATTCGGAGTGACAGCTCAACTGGACTTACAAGAAGCTGATTTTTTAAAGTTTGCCTCAAAGGAACCTCGTTTCTTTAGAGACCTTTTAATAGAAATACATTATTATATCCGATCTATCCTACTACCCACTGATGGTGTTGTGATATGGGTTACAGCAATGCTTCAGTATTACCTTTATGTAAACATCTACATACATCCCTATTGGAAACAAGCTGTAGTTCAAGCTGAATGGTTAGGCTTTCTTAAAGTTACTTGTTTGTTTTCATTCATGATCATGTGTTTGTGAGCCCCGCTCACTCAGATAGGTAAAGCTGACAGACAAGTAGATTATATTTCATTTTTGGTTAACTTTTAAAATTCAACACAGTAGGGGTTTTTTAAGAATTGTCATTTCTCATAAATAAATGTAAAAATATTAACTTTACAGAGTGTTTTTGTAATTATTAACAAAAAAATATTGCAAACAATATGCAACAAAAGTCTCACCGATTCAGAAATTTCAGCCAATCAGGGAACAGTGTCCATTAGTGGGCAAATTATAATTATAAATTTTGCCCAAAAAATAATTTTTGCCATTAGCAAATTTGAGCAAACTATGGGAGAAACATCACCTGAACATTGTAGAACAAATAACCCAGAACTAATGATACATGGACAGATATGTTTTAAACTTGTTTACAAACCTGCCAACTTAAAGATATTTTAACGTGAAAAATATAGACATGAAAAGCAGTGGGTTTTTACTCCACCAACCAGACAGAAGTAAGTAAAATGTCTAAAATAATCTGATCTACTGTCACTATCAAAATAAAAATCATTATTAAATTATCTTAAAAAACTATAATTAAAACCCATTGAAAACATATCTTAAAAACCACAGCACTGACTTTTCCACCGCCTCCTACCTGGTCTACATTATGAAGAAATAAAAAAACACATATTTGAATATTGGATTTTCAGGTGGTTAGAAGTATGCAGGTTAAAAAATAAGACTAATTCCCCTTGATAGTTTTGGGGTTTTTCCTCTCATTTTTTTGAGGGGGAGGGGGCCTTTGCTGCAGTGATAGGTTTAGTTTGAGAATAAGTTTAGTAAAGAGATTTTAAAATACCCTACCCTGATAAAGCTGATAATTATACATTACAGTACAAATTTTTCAGGTAACTTTCAAACACTCTCAAAATCTGTTTACCTCATTAACCTCCTTCTTTTCTCCTCTAAAACTTGACGCAAAAGTTATAATAAAATGCATGTAGAAAATTGAATGACGCAGATACCATACCAGGAGCAGCGGGCACCTTTAACTCATAACTGACAAACCAAATTTGTACAAGGTCCTTGAAGAACCACTTACACATTGGGTCAATACATGCAGATGACGGCAGACACCCCATTTAGACACCTTTTCCCCCCGCTTGTTATGTACTCTCACAGGCAAGAGCTATGCAAGTGTTTACTCGCCATATTGTCTGCTAAACTTCTTTTTGCTCATTAATTTGTGCATTTTCCAACTAAAGGCTTTTCAACACAAGTTTAACCACCTTTTGTCCACACTGTTATAAAGACATGAAAGGCCGCCATGCTGGACAAAGTTTGTAAGTCTATATTATATCTATGTAAGTACTCTTTTCTGAAAGAAACTAACAATTTGTGTACACAATCACGCTCAACATAAGGGTGGAGACATTGCATATTTTCTATCATGTCAGATGCTATACTGGCCAAGGAAGGAATTGCTACTTATACAAGCACACTATTTTTAAACAAACTGATCTCAAGGATTAATGAAATTCACTGGAGAACAGGGTTGAAATGGGTTGTTAGGTTGCGAGATGACTTCAGAAATTCCGTCAACATTCATAACATTTTATCATTATCAAATACATTATTTGTTCAATAGGCCATAACTTATCACATAAGCCTTTACAAGCTTGAAATAGGCCACATCAAAGACAACCGTGTGGTGTACATAGCACAATCAGTGGAGTACCTCTGCAATGCTGTGCAATATTTAATCATGACATTTTTTCAATGTTTTGATTTTGCTTCATGATTTAGTCGTAAATTATTTTGTCACGGCTTAAATTCACATTTCACAAACAATATCTGTGTCTCCTTGAAGAGTTTCACTTTATCGTATTTCAAATTTGAAAGTGGAAAAGATGGTTCCACTGACGTACAAAGAAAATTATCTGGAGCTCATTTTTAGATCCTCTGTTAGGAATGAAAAAGTATTTTTTCAGTCATATTGAAGAATGCAGGGAGTTATCTGATCGGGTAATCAACGACGGATTTAGGTACAACTACACCAGTATCAATCAGCGCTGTTTTTTCTAAAGTTGGAAATAGCTTGTAACTGTCCTAAGAAGGTGAGACATTAATAAACACTGACGGGAGATTCCTTTGACTGTTTTTTTTGAGCTTATGTTTTGACAACAGGTTGTTTTTTTCAAGATTGTATAAAAACGAAACCGACTGCAATCCAAGTACCAACATCTGCCTGAGATCTCATACTGCCAAAATTCACATTTCACTGTAAGATGCACAAAACTAAAAATGCATCGTTCCCATGAAGTCATTGCTTATTGTCTTCATACCTTTACATTGGGCATCGACACTCACTCTCTCGACCTCTGGGTGTCTGGTTCAGGCCAAGTTACTTTACAAGCCACAGACACAGACAGACACACAGACACAGACACACACAGAAATGACAATATTCAGGCCTATACCAATCACTTCCATACATCCTGTCATCCCAATACATCACTTCCATACATCCTGTCATCCAAAATACATCACTTCCATACATCCTGTCGTCCAAAATACATCACTTCCATACATCCTGTCATCCAAGATACATCACTTCCATACATCCTGTCATCCCAATACATCACTTCCATACATCCTGTCATCCAAGATACATCACTTCCATACATCCTGTCATCCCAATACATCACTTCCATACATCCTGTCATCCAAGATACATCACTTCCATACACACTGTCATCCAAGATACATCACTTCCATACATCCTGTCATCCAAGATACATCACTTCCATACACACTGTCATCCAAGATACATCACTTCCATACATCCTGTCATCCAAGATACATCACTTCCATACACACTGTCATCCAAAATACATCACTTCCATACATCCTGTCATCCAAGATACATCACTTCCATACACACTGTCATCCAAGATACATCACTTCCATACATCCTGTCATCCAAGATACATCACTTCCATACACACTGTCATCCAAGATACATCACTTCCATACACACTGTCATCCAAAAAACATCACTTCCATACATCCAGTCATCCAAGATACATCACTTCCATACATCCTGCAATCCAAAATACATCACTTCCATACATCCTGTCATCCAAGATACATCACTTCCATACACACTGTCATCCAAAATACATCACTTCCATACATCCTGTCATCCAAAATACATCACTTCCATACATCCTGTCACCCAAAATACATCATTTCCATACACCCCGCCCCCCAACACACATCACTTACATACACCCCGCCCCCCAACACACATCACTTACATACACCCCGCCCCCCAACACACATCACTTACATACACCCCGCCCCCAACACACATCACTTACATACACCCCTCCCCCCAACACCCATCACTTACATACACCCTATCACCAAACACACATCACTTACATACACCCCATCACCAAACACACATCACTTACTTACCCCCCATCACCAAACACACATCACTTACATACACCCCTCCCCCAACACCCATCACTTACATACACCCTATCACCAAACACACATCACTTACATACACCCCATCACCAAACACACATCACTTACTTACCCCCCATCACCAAACACACATCAATTACATACACGCCATCACCAAACACACATCACTTACATACACGCCATCACCAAACACCCATCCCCCAACACGCATCCCATTTATGCAGGGTAGCTTGAGGGCATACCATACCTGTTGCCATCTTTAGAATGAGAACCAAGTTTTTCTTTTTTAGCAGGATTATGAGATTTTTCTTTCTTTGGTGGAGCTGGGGGTGCAAACTGTTGAGCCACTTGCTGTGCTACCAGCTGGGAGTTGAGCCTTGGCTTCCTGCAATAACAAGCATGAGAGATCACTTGAGACACACTGAGTCACTATGGTAGTCGCGCCTGGAAGCCAAATAACATGTAAATGCAATAAATAGCTGAACATTTGATACCATGTAGATAGTTCAAACCTGCTAAATCTAATGTTGCTGTCATACACTGGTAACAATGTTGCTGTTAAACAATAATTGTCATACACTATGGACAAAATGTTGATGCTGAACAATAATTGTCATACACTGGTTACAATGTTGCTGTTAAACAATGATTGTCATACACTCTATTCACAATGTTGCTGTCAAATAAGTCAAATAGTCAAATAAGCAGTATTATTCACTCAAAAGCCTATGAACTTCGTCAGATATGAATGTATTATTGCCATTTACCAAGTCCTTAACACATCTTTTAAGAATGGTTCCGCTTAATAAGTAATTTTGTTAATTTGAGTCTCTGTATCTTCATCTGGTAACTCAAATTATGATGTAAAAGGTTTTGTACTCTATTAGGTCACGTGGCCTTTAATGCAAATACACCTGTCTGTCTGTCTGTCTGTCTACAATGTTGCTGTTAAACAATAATTGTCACATACTCGAGATGAAATGTTGCTGTTAAACAATGTTTGTCATACACTGTAGTTATCATGTTGCTGTTGAACAATAATTGTCATGCAGTCTAGTTACAATGTTGCAGTTAAACAATATTTGTCTTACACAGTAGATGCAATGTTGCCGTTAAACAATGATTGTCATACACACTAGTTACAATGTTGTTAAACAATTGTCATAAATTCAAACATAAATAATTTACATTCCAGATAATGTAAATTGTGAAAAACAATTCAGCATTGTATTGAGGTTAGTACTAGCATCCAATTGTAATAATTACATGGTAGATATATAATGTATTACCTATTTGGGCAATTGCACTGGTAACTAATTTCCCTTCTTTAAGAGGCATTTAGAAGTTGGAGTACTAAGTAAGGATAAGATATATTGATGAACCACTTCTTTATTACCGAAACGTCACTCCTATTTGTCATAAAGAAGTTGTTCATCCATATATCTTATCCTTACTAACTAATTTCCCTCAAATGGAGCAAAGCAGTCTTGCTTCAAATTCTTGCAAAATCAAGAAAAGTAAGTGCAGGAATTAATGAAAACTTAACAAAAATGACAAAATATTTATAATCTGTAAAACATTAAAGGAGTCTTTTTAATTTAAGTAAAAACTGAATTCAACGCTAATCACATATGTAATCTGAAGTCTGATTGGCCTGGTGTCCACCTGTTGTCTAGAACACTCATCCATGGCGTGTTCTTGTACATAGAGACATAGTTTCCCCTGCTGGGCCAGACACCTACACACACACTCATGTTTATCATGTTTATTGGTTTTACATTTATTCCAACCACTATCTAACAAAATTGTTCATTGCAGAATGTATTTTGCCTACAATCAAATTCTCTTAAATGTTTCAACAAAAGTATGTACATCTCCAAACTTCTAAGAGGAGCCCTAAGTTTTGTCAAATGAAGATAAGCTTAATACAGGTCAACTGAGGATGAAGATAAGAGAGCAAACAGCTGGTGATTCAAGCCAGTGTCAGAGGGGGCTGATACTGTCTGTACATCATATACAACACTGTATATATACATCATATACAACACTGCATATACACATCATATACAGTCTGTACATCACATACAACATTGTATATATATACATCGTATACAACAGTCTGTATACATAATATACAACACTGCATATACACATCATATACAGTCTGTACATCACATACAACATTGTATATATACATCGTATACAACAGTCTGTATACATAATATACAACACTGCATATACACATCATATACAGTCTGTATACATCTTTGGTACATCATATACAACACTGCCTATACAGGGATGAGAATGGGTATTTTCCTTTTCAGCTGAAACTTCTTTGTGGTGGAGCGTGGTCCATAATTTGGGGGTGTTTAGGCGGAAGCCATGAGATTTTAACAAATTTGTGGTCATTAAAATTTGCAGAAATTCGCTGCAGATTCTCACCCCTGCATATACACATCATATACAATTTTTACATCATATACAACACAGTACATACCCATCATATACAACAGTCTGTAAATCATATACAATGCTGTATTTGTTATTTTCACAGTATTATGTACAGTGATCCCTCGCTACAACGCTACCTTCGGGGTCCGAATAATTGATGAGTGTTATAGATGATCAGCTGTTTAAAGAAGGTCGAGTCGTAGGTGGTAGATGACCAGGTAGATGGTAGGTGGTAGATGAGCAACAAAACAGTATACATGCCCTGCCTACCTAACACGATCTACGTTGTACATTTCAGAGTTTCAAAAAAGATTTGAATAGAAGTTATTTAAAGTATGAAATTTGATATAAAACATCACTAGACATGATGATTTACCATTTAAAATGTATTTCCTGCTCTCCAAGGCATTGTTTTATATGCAGAGATTAAGATTACCGTGTGTATTTTCTCGTAAACTAAGCCGGAAATAGCAATCAGCTGTGCACACGTCTCCTCCCAATCTACCAGTGATTCAGTTAAAACGTACCCAATGATACAACCTCAAAGAATTTTGATGCAATGGTCGGAAGAAATTGTATCTGAAATTATTATTTCATCAGGAATAATTTATTCCAATATCGCGTTATTTTAGTTGCAGCTTCCACCATATATACTTAAAATTATAAGAACCATAAGCATAGCACTTTGGTACAGATGGTATGCAGGATATTTTCTGACGTTTGGAACGATTTTGACCAATCACCGTAGGGACTTCCCGCGCTACATGTATTTCGATTGTGAAAACGTTATGTTGACATTTAATCGTCAAACTGCCTCAAATATGACTTTTAAAAAGGCGAGTCATGGTACGGCATTTATGATATGTGTATCCATTCCCTTGCAACTAAAGTTTGTTTCAAGGCGTCAGTAGCGGTAATCTGACTGTGGTTGCTGTAAATAACAGTGAGTTGTGCGATCTACCGATCACTTTACATACGATTTCGCCAACATTATTGTAAACATTATTATAATTATTGAATGAAATTTTGAATATAATTAATAAAATATATTGCAAACATTAGTCCAGATAAACAATGAACATTTTTTTTTATTACCAGATATAATAAAAATAGGATTAAATTGCGTACTTCAGTTCAGATTTGTTGACTAGTATTTCCGGTGTTACGTGATCGCGGTGATCAACTGATAATTTTTTCTGAGATGGGGGTAAACATCGTGTCATTGGAAAACTTGAGTTTATTAAAAAAGTTAGTAAATTTTGGGAGCCATGCTTTACAGTGCGCTATAACCGAGTTACCGCTATATTGAAGATTGCAATAACGAGGGAACACTGTACGTATTTACATCAGACTTAGTTCCGTTAATAAAAGGTTTAATGTGACCAGTGACAAAATACAATGAGTGAGTGAGTGAGTGAGTGAGTGAGTGAGTGAGTGAGTGAGTGACTTAAACGCTGTTTTGAATAGTATTCCAGTTATATGAGGAGGAAAACCCGAAGTGATGCAAGTCTTATATGTTTACCACTTTGGTGAAACCCATGAGCATGGGCATGGTGCTGAGAAACCTAGAAACATAATTTGGGTTAACCAGGATTCGAACCCACAATAATAGGTTTCTGGCATGCAACTCTGTACAGGGAATGATTATTGCTTAAGGCTGCATCAGCAATCTTCCAGCTATTCATGGCGATACAACGTATTTGCATTACTTTATTTTTCTAATTCACCACGGATGGAGAGGTCAGATCATGGCTTTTGGGAACTGGTCAATTCATAAAATGAAAATTAAGATAGTGTCCCCCTATCAGTTTCGTGTCATGTTGTTTAACGCCGCACTCAGCAACATTCCAGCTGTATGACGGTGGTCTGTAAATAATCTAGCCTGGACCAGACAATCCAGTGATTGACATCACGAGCATCGACCTACTCCATTGGGATACGATGATATGCATCAACGAAGTCAAAGAGTCTCACCACCAGATCCTGTTATTTGCCTCTTACAACAAGCAGTTGCCTTTTAGGGGAAGCATGGGTTACTGAAGACCTATTCTAGCCCGGATCTTCACAGGTCGTCACCCTATACTGACCAGAAATAAATTGCACTGAGAGTTTCTCTGGACGGGTCATTCTGTAACCAGATAAAAACCAGATTGCAATGTCCAGGCTGGTCAGTGAGTCTGTGCCCAGGGCTGGAGAGAAACCAGAACACACTAGCCTGGCTGGTCAGCCTGTGTTCCTGGCTACAGGAGACAAGACACATGGCACTACCCTGGGAATACTGAAGTGCTGAATTTTCACAACAGCCAAATTTATTTAATTTCCCAAACTAGACGTCACATTCTGTAAAGCTCAGAACACATATTGTCTGCTAATCCTGTTAATCTCCTAATGTTGGTGTTGCTTTCGGTTAATCAGTCCAGAGAAAGCCCAGGCATACTGGGATGTGTCCAGTGTTACAAATTAAGGTGAGTCTTGGTGTCCTTCAAGTTTGATCATGTAGTATTAGGGTCGAGGAACACCTACCGTATTCGACGTAATAAGCGCCCCGCTCTAATAAACGCCCACGGCGATATTTGCTAATATATTGGCTAGTAAACAATCCCAATTAGCACCCCTTCCGATTGATTAATGTACACAAGACTTATTTATTCGCGTATAATATGCACTCGTTATATGCACACTTAATTATGGGCAATTAAATTCGGGAAAAATACATCTGTCGTACATAAACATTTCAGGCTATCAGTATAAACCACGAAATTTATCTTTAAACTCAACTTTTTTTTCACCAAAATAATATTCTAATTTTGAGAGCGCCCTGGGCGCTTCTTACGTCGAATACGGTGACTATTTAACTTAACAGTAAGGCTTAGACCAGTGAGACTTAATTCACTCTTAATTTTGAATCATCGTGTGCCTATTCAAAATATT